TTGTGAAGGCAAAAAGTGAAAACCTAATAAACACATGTATATGTTTAAAAAAAAATCCTGGTAATTTGTTTTTAATCAGAAGTTTCTGCATAGTTCTTGACAGTAAGAGAAAAATATCGCAGGAATATTGAATAACTTCCAAATCCGTAATTTCTGAGTAACTTTTGGCCATTTTCCAGCAGCTTATCTGTTGTCAAAATAAATTATTTGATTCTATGTTTTGATTTCCTCATTTCTTCAAAATCCCTTGCAGGGATTTTTGTTGGGTTTGGAAACAGAGTCTTAATTCAGCTATCATTTAGTATCCCAGGTGTCTACCCTCCTAAAGCAGCAGCAAGCAAACCTGACTCACCAGAAAAATACCCTAGAGGGGCAGAGCTTAGCCCGGCAACAGGGAGGAGAAGCTTCTGAGGAATCACAAAGAGAACTCAAGGAAATGATAGAAACCCTTGCCCGGAAGCTGGATGAAAAATCCAAAGAGCAAATGGAACTTCAGCACCAGAACATGAATCTCCAAGGAGCTCTGAGGAGAGCAGCAAACTGCTCAGGTATTGGGAGAAGGTGATGTGAAGAGAGTCACTGCAATTTTCTGTTCAATCTTAACTATTTTTTGAAATATCTCTCAGCACAAAATTGGTATATTAATATATGCATCATTATTCATTCATAGTGTTCAACAACCTTCACAACTTTTATCATCCCTACCCTACCTGACGCCAAATCTTTGAGATAATGAGATTTAATTAAGCACAGCTTTTGGTAGATTTAAGCTTTTCTTCCCTACAAGAGCCTATTCTTTCTTTTTAAATTTCTATTTATGATATTTTTCTTTTCTTTTTTAGACAGAGTTTTATATGTTGTCCTCAGTAGAGTGCCGTGGCATCACAGGTCACAGCAACCTCCAACTCTTGGGCTCAAGAGATTATCTTGCCTCAGCCTCCCAAGTAGCTGGGATACTGGCACCTGCCACAACACCCAGCTATTTTTTGTTATAGTTGTCATTGTTGGTTAGCTGGCCCGGGCCGGGTTCAAACTGCCCAAATTTAGTGTATGTGGCTGACACCGTAACCACTGTGCTACAGGTGCCAAGCCTAGTTATGAGATTTTTCTTAAAAAAACCTCCTGCCCTCACCCCTTGCCATAGGTCCTTATCTCTTTCCATTTCAGTGCATCTTAATCAATAGATTTCTTTTCTTTTCTTTCTTTCTTTCTTTTTTTTTTTTT